GTACTGATATATACAAAATAGATGGTGCAATAGATTTTCATATCAGAAAAACGCCAGGTAATACATAGGTCGAGTTGCCTAAATTGGACCGGCTCGTAAATTGTACCACTTCAAAATCTACCAAACCGTAATGTTTAGTTTTGAGCTGGCAACACTAATAGGCAGTGCTACCAACATGACGCAATCGCTGTCATTTTGGATTCAATGAGACAACACAGTGAAGTGCAGTAAACAAAAAATATTATTTCAGCGTTCTGATGTTATTTTATTAATGTTTGCTTAAGGATTTCTTGTAGCAACGGTAAGTACACCACGGCTGATCATTACGTTTTTAGAAAGTAAGCATATTAATGTACTTTTTGATAATTATGTTTTACTCATATCATTTCAAGGTTAGGGTGCCGGCTCGATTAAAAATAAAACTTTAATGTTGCCTAATTTGTACCGGTAGGATAACCCTAAAATGTACCGGTACAATTTAGGTGTATGGTGATTCTTAAGTAGTATTTTTATTTAGTATTTAAATATTTTCAGATGTCTGGAGAGGATAAAAAGTATTACAAATGGACGCAAGATAATTTGGAAAAAGCCTTAGATTGTTTGAAAAAGAAATGCATGGGAATTAATCAGTGTTCACGAATGTTCAATATACCTAAGCCCACTTTAAAGAGACATTTGTTAAGTTCGAACAAATATGCGAATGAAAACACCGTTTCTAAGGGCAGACCAACTGTTTTTAGCAATGAAGTTGAACAAGAGCTTGCGTCGCATTTGTTAAACATGGAAAAACATATGTTTGGACTCACAATAAATGATGTTCGAAAGCTGGCTTACGACATTGCGGAAAAAATGGCATTCCAAACACTTTTTCAGAAACGACTAAAAAAGCTGGGAAAAAATGGTTTTACTCATTTCTTAAAAGACATCCGGAACTTAGTGTTCGCCAACCCGAAGCAACATCTTTGAATAGAGCTAAAGGATTCAACCGCGAAAACGTCACAGAATTCTACAACCTTTTGGAGCAAATAATAGATAAGGAGCAGTTGACTCCTGAAAAAATTTATAACGTAGACGAGTCGGGATTCTCGACCGTACAAAAGAAACCCCAAAAAAATTGTAGGTGAAAAGGGTAAAAGAAGAATAGCTGCCATAAGCAGTGGCGAAAGAGGGGTAAATACGACGGTTGTGTGCTGCGCCAGTGCATTCGGACATTTTGTGCCCCCTATGATCATATTCAAAAGAGTCAGATACTCACCATTGTTGGCCCAAGGGAAACCACCGGGAAGTATTGTTGACTCAGAGAGTGGCTATATCAATAGCGAATTATTTGTCCAATGGCTTCAACATTTTATTAGTGTTGTAAAGCCAACAACCCAAGACAAAGTTTTACTGCTGCTTGATGGGCACACGACACATTCCAAAAACTTGGAAGCTGTTTTAATGGCTAGAGATAATGGAATTATCTTGCTCCAGCTACCAGGCCACACTACGCATAGGCTTCAGCCTTTAGACGTTTCTTTTTTTAAACCATTTAATGGATACTATACTGAAGCCATAGAAAAATGGCTTCGAGTCAATCCTGGCCAAAGTGTGACTCAGTACCAAATATGCGCACTGCTAAATGAAAGCTATGGACGAGCTGCTTCTGTTGCAAATGCTCAGAGTGGATTTAGAGTAACAGGTATTTGGCCAACAGACCGCAACGTTTTCAAAGACCATGATTTTCTTGCTGCTGAACTAATGAGTACAAGTGCCACTCTAAGCCACTCTAATGATATCGAAAACCCCGGGTGCTCTACAGCAAATGTTGTTACAGACCAACCCAGCACTAAAGAAACTCCCAAACCCAATCCAACAAAGAAACAACTAAGTCAAATGTGAGTGAGGAGAATTGTGCAGCTACCAGGAACAATGAAGAAGCATCACCACACTTGAAACAGCAACTATTTTCAGCCAAATAGAAAATTCATCTTAGCAACTTTACGATAAACTTGAAACTAGAAAATGCAATAACATTCTCTTACCTAGAAAAGATGCACCCTAGTATACTAGACGCGTCTTACCTTATAGAAGAACTCAATCATGTACAAAATGAAATCAATGGCAATCTAGCATTCGCCCCAAATATTAACAAAATTCACTTCTAGAAAAAGACTATCAAACTAAAAGTACTAATAAAACATTGAACTTTTTTCTAGACTTACCTATAGTTGCCAACGAACCCTATAACTTCCTACAACTACCTATATTCCATTCCTAACAACAACATACTATCCTTATACCAAAAAACCCTTACCTTATCTTGGGAAATAACGAATTTGCATACCCCCACGAGTCCTGTGACACCATAACAGACAATGAAAAAATTTGTAAACACCTTTAATGGAAAACTCTCGAACATTCCAACGATTGCATAGCCCAATTAATTCAATATCAAGAACCACATAACAGCACTTATGCCAAAGCAAATTACAATAATAATAATATCCAAAAAATCAAAGACAATAGTTGGAGAGCAATCATGAAACAAGATGAAGTTATAAAATAATCTGCAATCAGGATGTACAATACCAAAAGGTGTTTTCTTAATAACAACAGTTAGTAGTTGTAAAATTCAAATACAATACAAATAGAACTCTATCAACCCATAAAATATATATCAATATCAGGGAAACCATACCACTACCCCATACCTATCAAACATAAACCTAGACAACCTGAAGGATGCCCTACGCCACTCAGAAGGCATCAACGCTCCTGAAGAAGACGCTATAACCATCTCAGCAACACCCAGCTGGCCATCTATCACCATGTATGTTCTAGTATTCCTCAGCGGAGTAGGAGTTGCAGTCTACAAACTCTGGTGGAAACGTAGATCAGAGCAAATCACAGCTGATCCTGAACCAAAAGCAGTCCAGCTTCGGTCACAGCCGTCGTTACGCCTCCATCTTAAGGGGGAAGGAGTTATGTCCCAGTAACGAGGTCAAAGACCACCTCTGTCACTTAGACGTAATTACATAAGATAATTACATCACGTATCGCTTTCTGGTACTTGTCACAGGAAGCCATTGTTTAGTTTATATTCCTTTATTATTTAGATAACCCTTCATGCACTCGTTACAATTAATAAAGATCAGTCTTGCCCCCGCGTCCCTACATTCCCGTTGCCTCAGTCATTTAGTGTGAACGTAGGGGTTTTATTGTTGTTTTTGAGAGTGATTTTGCATAAAATGTAGGTAGTTGTGCGTAGCCAACCCTTACCTCTAGAGATGGGCAATCAACCGGGTTTTAACCCGTTTAATGGGTTTAAACCCAATAAAAACCCATTTATTCCCTCCCACGGGGTTTTTATTCGGGAGTTTATTGGTTTGGTGAAATTTATCAATTTAAACGTGGTAAACGTAAATTATTGTGAATATTTTAGTAGTATTTACCATAGTTGTCGTTTTTAAATCATCTTTTTTGATAAATTTTCTTCAAATTAAACAAATGGCGCGGCAGGTAGACGACGAGTTAGAGAAAGAAATATGCCGCTCTTTGTCGCACTTATGTCGCTCGTGTATGCTCTCTTTCTATCAAGCGATAAAGGCCGCGCCGCCCGCGCACCGCACTCCAGCAACGCCTTTGTTCTCGGTCGATTCCGGCTCAGTCGAAGTCTTCCCTTGCTTGTGAAATGAAGTGAATTGTGGAATAGAAGTGTTTGTAATCCGTGAGATCGTAATTCAAAATATTTAATTACTGCAAGTAAGCAGTTCTTATATATATTTTCACTAGTGTTTCGACGATACAAGGTAAGTGTACTGAAGTATTTGCGTAAGAAAATATTGCGTAGAACTAATAATGTCGTAAACTCGAAACTAACTATTATTTAATTACCTACTTATGTTTGTTTTAGTTCAAATGGGTCGGCCGAAAGACCAGCGTGTATGGCGACATTATCACGAGTTAGGTAATAAATCGGTTAAATGTAAGTTCTGTGATAAAGTATACCGATACAGCAACATTGCCAAAATGACTCAACATCTCATTGCTTGTTTCAAGAGTCCACCCGTTTAAAGAAAACAAATGAAAACACTGCATTTGGAAAAGAAAGGCAGGACTGGTACGCCGCATAACTTTCAGGAAGTACAAGAAGGTAGTAGTACGAGTAATACTACCGATTTGCCAACACCTACAGCAAGTACAAGTACGAGTATTTTACAGGAAGACGAAAGACACAGCACACGCATTACAGAGAGTGACCTTGCTGTAGAGTTTTCTAAGGCAATTTTTGTAACAGCCACGCCTTTATCTATGGTAGAGCATCCTCTTTGGATTAACTTTTTTAAGAAACTGCAATTTAAGATGCCATCACGAAAAGCACTCGCTACTAAATATTTGGATCAAATTTATAATGAGATGCGAACAGAGTTGAGCGAAGAGTTACAATCTGCAAGTTATCTTCACCTCCAATGTGACGGTTGGAGTAATTTACGTGTTGAAGGTATAATAAATTTTGTCATATCAAAGCCTCAACCAGTATTCATAAAAAGTTTGAATACAGAAACTAATCGCCACACCAGCCAATATATTGCAAGTGAAATAGAAAATGTGATGAAAACGTATGGTGTAAATAAGTTTGTAGTCCTCATAGGGGATAATGCTAAAAATATGCAAAAAGCATTCGAAATAGTTAAAAATAAATATCCACATATTACTCCACTCGGTTGTTGTGCTCATGTACTAAATTTATTAAGTCAAGACTGTTCAAAATCAGAAACCATGAAAAACTTTATAGATGAGGCTGTGAATGTGATAAAAATAATTAAAAAAGCCAAATTCTGAGCGTTTAACTTTCAAAAATTATAAAAATCAAGGGTTGTGGAGAAAAATTGAAACTACCCGTTAAAACCCGCTGGGGAAGTACAGTGACAGCTTTAAAAAGTTTGAAAAAGAATAAAGCTGCTCTGCAAAGCTTGGCAGTAGATGAAACCGTGAATATCCCCCGAGATTTAAAAAGAATGCTGCTGGAGGAAGAGTTTTGGAACAAAACGGAAGAATCTATTAAAGTTATAGAACCTATAACAGAATGTATATTTGAATTAGGGGGAAATGATCACTGCATAAGCAAAGTATTTATAATATTTAAAAATATTAAATCGAAATTAGAATTTGTGCTTCCATCTATAACAATGTTGAGTGAGGAGGAGAAGTTTGAAATTTTAGTATCAGTGGATTTAAGGGCAAGTATGTGTGTAAAACCTATACACATGGCAGCATACATGCTTGACCCTAGAGAGCAAGGTTTAGAGCTCAACCAAGAGCAAGAACTTCTAGCCATGGAGTTCATATACAATGAAGGGCAAAGGCTAAATTTAGATGTAACACCCGATCTCGCTAATTATAAAGCAAAAGAATGTTTCTGGGGCAAACAATTTGTTTGGCGATCTCTGGGAGATATTGAACCAGTTGTGTGGTGGAAAGGTATATGTAGCTCGACACAGCTGAGCAAAGTGGCTTTGAGGATTCTTACGGCACCATGTACGTCTGCAGCAACGGAACGCACATTTAGCGCTCAAGCAAACGTCCACAGCATAAAACGGAATCGTCTTATTGCGGAAAGAGCCGCCAAAATAACTTTTGTATCATACAACTGGAACATTTTACACAGAAAGACGGTAAATGAAAGTTTAAATGATGATCAGATTAGTGAAGAAACTCCAACACCACATGAAAGTTCACCGCAAACCGATACAAATGCTATTGAGGACGAAGTATTCGCCCCATCTCAATCGGAAGCAACGACATCAAATGAGTTGGTATTCGTTGATTGTGGACAATCTGATAGTGATAATTCTGGGACTGACATTGACTCTGAATGATTGTAAATTGATCACCTGATAATGATAATTCTGGGTATGACACTGACTCTAAATGATTGTAAATATTGATTGTGTTATTTGTTTAATTTTATAAAAAATACAATCACTTACCCATTTGTTTTATTTAAAAGTAAATACTGTGGCTATTATCTATTTGAAATCTGCAAGGTCATGCTATTAAGCTGTGGTGAAATACTTGCATAAATTATAATATAACTGTTAAAATCTTATGTTCGAAGAGTAAGTTGTGAAACTTCATGTACCTACTGTTGATTGTACCACTATTAGTGATATTTATACTCCAAAAAACACTAGAAGTACCTAATCATAAATATTATCATTTATTTATTTGTTAACATAGGTGTTATAAATACATACCTAAATTGTGTTATAACCACGGTCCAAGATATTAGTGAAAGTAATTTAGACCCACTGTTTGGGTTTTTACTCGGGTTTAAACCCGCTTCAAACCCAAAAACCCGGTATAAACCCGTTTCCGTCCATTGGGTTTAAACCCTCTGCCCATCTCTACTTACCTCGTTTAGTGACAGTCATCTAACATCACTCCATACCACCCAGCAGTTCCTGGTAGCCTCTAGACTCGAGTTTCTAATGGTTAATTCTCATAAAATTAATGTTTGTCAAAACAGTTAAAGAAATTAGATCGACAGATCCCTGTTGCTGGCCAACTGTGAGGTCCAGCCACAGACACACACATGTAAAGCTTTTCAGTAGTATATAAAGCCCATATAATCTAAGTTCAGATGTTCATTTCTTCATTGTCATTTTAAAGCTCATGCTGAGCACACGTGTAATTAATAAACAAATATTTTTTAATAGAAATCTTGCGCGTTCATATTTGACTGGCGCAGCCGGGTCGGATTAGTAAATCGCGTAGAAGTGGTCGTTTGTAGACACAAAAATCGGTCGTAACTTCATCCTAGTCGCATAGATTTCTAATCTGTAAAGAACCTAAAACAAATAAATTCGTCAAAAAGCGCAAACAACAGCAGCAGCAGCAGCAGAACAAGAACCGGTATGGGATCGAGCAAACTGTGAGTAGATCCTAATTTCGCACTGTGCTCCTTTCCTTGTCTCTACTATATTGGTTATTTTTAACCGACTTCAAAAAAAGGAGGAGGTTCTCAATTCGACCGTATATATGCTTTTTTATTGGACTAGACATCGCCAGTAAAGTAATACGTTTACCTTTGGACAAAAATCGCCAAACAGTAGACATAGTGTAATATCATAGCTTTTTAATGTAACAAATTGGACTCATATCGCCAATTTGTTACTGTAGAAATTACTTAAAATTTAGTAGTTTCACTTAAAATATCGACAAAAATTTGCAATTTGGTCTAAAATCGCCAAATCTGTTAATTGTTTGCCTTAATTATAATACTGTTAATCTTACTATTAAATATAAATATCCAACTTATCCCAAAGGGAATCCAAAGCATCATCCCTAGATTCGATGGAGATGATATGTCATTAGAAGTTTTAGAGGGGAGAACAACCCAGCACAACAAACATATCTATTCCACTGTATAACAAGTAGGCTAGTAGGCAAGGGCGTTGTCCTCATAAGCGAACATGAAAACGTTACCAATTGGGAAGACCTAAAGGAACTCTTTGTCCAGCATTTCGGTGACCCAAGATCCGAAGCTTGTATTAGCATCGAGTTAGAAAATATTAAAATAAAACAAGGCGAATCATATATAGATTTTTGCCACCGCATACAAAACGCAAGGAGCTCATTAATACCATAAGTAAATCTCTTAACCGACGAAAGTATCAAAGCCGCTAAATATATAAAATATAACAATACAGCCCTCAATGTTTTTCTTTACAACTTACCGAAAGATCTAATTAAGTTCGTTAGATTAAATAAGTGCAACACTTTAGAATCAACATTGAGTATTCTTACCAAAGAAGTCAATTTCCAAACCAGGTATAACTCTCGCAATAAGAACAAAACGAATCCTAGTAACACTAACCCTACTTCAAATAACCCTAAACATAACCCTAATGCACAAATTCAACAGAAGTTCGGGATTCCAGCAAATCCAGGTTTTAAACAACAGTACGCGTTTAAACCTAATTTCATTCCGAATTCTATCCAGGTTAACCCGCGATTTGGTTTCCAACCCAAACCTCAACTACAGAATCAGGCCCAAAAGCCCCAGATTCCGCATCAACCCCAACAGCTTCCACGTATAATAAATAACTATAAGCAATCTGGCTTCTTCGAAGCCAACCCCAACCCACAAAACAAAACGCTGACGTATCGATGAGAACGGTACGAAACAATATGATCGAAGAACCTCTCGAAACTGACCCTAATAACGAAGTATTATACTTCTTTGACGGCAATAACTGTATAGAACTCGTAGAAGTCACAGATGATAATAACCAATCGAATATGCCCAGTTAGCCAAAATCAGGAGATTCAGAAACGAGTCGATAACTATTAGAAAATAACGTTATCAAGGAATCACACTCACCTTGGAGTACCCCAGTACACCTAGTCCCTAAAAAGACGGACGCCTCTGGTGGACAGAAATATCGTATGGTCATAGATTATAGAAGACTTAACGAAATAACAATAAGCGATAAATACCTATTACCTAATATAACAGATTTATTTGATAGATTAGGAAAAGCATCTTACTTTAGTACAGCTGCTATCAAAATATTTTGATAGTTCCGAATCTAAAGCACACATAAGCGCCCTATTCTTTTTATGCATGGGTAAACGAGGTAAATGTGGTCTAAGAGAGGGTGATATGAACCGGTATTCCTGAATTGCATCCTCCAAAGCTCTCCTCAATTCTTCACTGCATTTGTGAGTACTTACTTCCGTAGTCCTGTCATCATTAGGCGTATCAACAGAATCAACATCCACTTGATGTACAGTTTGCGATAGCGGTATGATGACACGGCTCCTAAGTACTTCACTTCGCAGTCGATCAAGCACGATATCATCCAACATACGATTACGCTGAATGACCCGTACCTGATCCGACAGTCGTTGCGCCGATACGTTGATGGTTGGTTCGAGCACCTGAAACATAGCAAGCATTCTGACACGGTTCGCTGTCAGGTTACTTCCTCCCTCTATTGCCCCAAAATATGCGCGCATGACATTTTCATTTATGGATCGTGTCCATTTCATGCGCGACACATTACCACCGAGCGCTGGGACCGCTCCCGGAGCCAATGGGCTTCGTGGTCCTAAGCAACTCGATGGCCGACGTCCTCCCCCGCGGCGGCGTGAAGGTGGTGGCGTCGTTGGCGGGGAGAAGTACTCGTCACTCGAACTCGACGCTCCAACATCCGTCAGTGGCACCTCTGCATTTGGGACTGGTACCGACGGTGGCGGAGCGGAGCTAGGTGACGAGGTCGGGGATGGCAGGCGTGTCTGTGCCCGTAAAGCAGCTGCAGCTCTTCTGGTCAACATTGGTGATTATAATTTTTCATTTTGTACACTGACATTTTTTTGGCACTGGCGTTTAAAGTCATTAGATATGTGATGAATATTTTTTGATTTGTGCACTTGTATATAGGTCATCTTTTTAAATATCATAAAAGAGTGCGTAATCTGTTATTTTCTGAGTAAAACTTAAGAGTAAAATTTTTGGCATTTTATTGACGTTCAGTGTTGCAAGCTATTATTATTATTAATATAACGTCATTATGAATCGAAACATTCCAGTAAGTTTGCACATCGTCAAGGACAAATACGAATCTTTCTGTAAGTACACAAAGATTAAGCTTTTAAATTGGACAAAATTAATATTTTAAACCACGACGAGTTAATTCACGCAAAATCATTTTAGTAAAAAATTAGACTTGATTATTTCAAAGGCTTAGCGCGAAATTTGATTACTCCTAAAATTTTGCTAAATGACCATATATAAATTGAGATTTGTAGTTAATTTGAGTAACGCATATTCGGGCTTTAGCAGATCATTCATAAAATTTAGTATATGATAAATATCAGTTTTTCTTTTTTTTTTCAGCTTGTGTCATCGAGTTCTGGATTAGACGTCACACAAAAATCCACCTATAGCCAAGACCTAGCAGAGCATATTTCTGTTGCGACCTCTCCTGTTGCATCATTATCAGATTTATAGTAGCCCACGATGCTAAATTTGGATTTACTTCGTCGAGCGTCGTTGGGACCTACTGGATTTTGAAGACATGCTGATAGAAAGAAGAAATGGTTTAGTGACAATTTCTTCAACCGGTGGGGGAAGGGGAAATTCACAGATTTTTGAAATTGTTAAGCGTAACTTTTGTTCTAGTGGTCGAGCGTGTCAGATGTTGATAGTGTACATGCTCCATGTGTATTTAATAATGACTCTGCTCCATGTGTATATAACATGACACTAGGTTTTCCCCATATGTTAATCTGACGCGCTCGAGTAACTACCGAAATCCCTTCATGGGAGCCTACTATTAATATCAGTTAGTGAAAAACCTAGGAATAAGTTTCTGAATAAACAATTACTCACTGCTCGCAAAATAATTGATAATAAATAAAAAAATTCAAACATTGCAAAAAGTGAACAAGAGACTGGTTAAAAAAACAGTTCATTAAAAATCGTAGTTAATTTTTTGAAAAAAAAAACAAGCTATAGACGAGACAATCTTGATAAACTTATCAAGAAATATTGAAATTGTAGAAGTATTTAATGGGATGTCCGTGAATTATAAAAACGACGTAAGAAACGTTTTACAAAATATCCACCTGGTGCCAGAAAATTTGCCTTAACGCTCCATTTTTACTCTCCTGCTGTTTATAAGTACGTGCGTAAAATATTCAACACGTGCTTACCACACTCTCATACGTTGTACGATCTTATCGGAGTGTCGATGCGGAACCCGAATTTTGTACTGAAACTTTGAACAGCAAAGGCAAAAGAAAGCATGAAAAAATACACACACCGGCAAAATTAGGGGAACACAAAAAAGGGCCATTTTTTTGGAACTCG